GAATGCAATGGCCAATCAGAGGCGTTCAGATGAGTCATCGTTGAAACAGATCAGTTTTGTTGAGTGCGCGCGCGTTCGCTGACGGAATTCCGGACTCTTGCAAATTCTCTCATTATAAACAACAAAGCGCAGATGTACGTACAATGTAGCCTAAGTAAGAGATTCATTTCACAGTGTATACAGCTTCAGTGATCATAACTTTTTTTTTGAGAGTGCTTAAACTCGCGATAGATCAATGTTAGTGATAATGTCACTTTCTATATATAATTTATTCGCTGTTTGAATAACCGTGGAAAGGAAACGTTATATAATTATCAATTTCTAACGTTTTTATTAAATTGTAATCACGTTAAATACAAATTCAGTTCCATTAAACATTTTTTTTTAGCCTACATGACACCCATGTCTGGTTCTTGCCTAAAAAGACGTGTTTATGATGTTAATACATTTGGCTGCTTTTAGCCTTACCCTGGAGTTGGTTCACCCTCCGCCTATGTTTAGGAGTGATGCAGATGCTATGTTTAAATGTAAAACTTTTGGTATGCTTTCAGAAAAAAAGGTACAAAAGCTGTCACTGGGACAGTACCCTTTCAAAAGGCCACCTTATTTACCCTTAAAAGGTGCATTTTAGGTACATATTTGTACCTGAAGTGTACATATCAGTACTTAAATGGTACATAGGGTACCGCACCAGTTATAACTATTATACCTTTTTTTCTGAGAATGTACTTGTATTTCATAATCATTCCTTTCAGTTGCCCCCATCCAGGTCTTTTTTGAGCAGCACTATGCCAGAACAAAGCAATGATTACCGGGTGGTTGTATTTGGAGCCGGTGGAGTGGGCAAAAGCTCCTTGGTCCTGCGCTTCGTGAAGGGAACCTTTCGCGAGAGCTACATCCCCACTATCGAGGACACCTACAGGCAGGTGATCAGCTGCGACAAGAGCATCTGCACGCTGCAGATCACAGACACCACGGGCAGTCACCAGTTTCCCGCCATGCAGCGTCTGTCCATCACCAAAGGCCACGCCTTCATCTTAGTGTACTCCATCACCAGCAAACAGTCTCTGGAGGAGCTCAAGCCCATCTTCGAGCAGATCTGCCTGATTAAGGGGGACATCGAGAGCATCCCAATCATGCTAGTGGGCAACAAGAACGACGAGATGAACGCTCGTGAAGTGGAGAGCAGTGACGGCGAGGCCATGGCCAAGAGGTGGAAGTGTGCCTTCATGGAGACGTCAGCTAAGACAAATCACAACGTTAAGGAGCTGTTTCAAGAGCTGCTAAATTTGGAGAAACGCAGGACTGTAAGCCTTCAGATCGACGGCAAGAAGAGCAAGCAGCAAAAACGAGCCGAGAAGCTTAAAGGCAAATGTGTGGTCATGTGAAAAACCGAAGTGTGCTTGGAAAACCAAACCGGTTTCACTTTCAGGACATTGATGCTCTGGGGTGCGTTTCCCAAAAGCAACTATGGTCGCAAGTTCCGTCGTTACCAATAGATTTCAATGGAACTAACTACCATAGTTAGCTAACGATGCTTTTGGGAAACGCACCCCTGGCTAACACTGTTTACACCTGAAGACAAGAATGTTGGACATACACTTACCATAGTGCATTTGCAGGAACAAGGATTGAGAGAGACAACTGTTGTTTACTCTGTTTACTTTCTTTCTTCTGTGGAACACAAAAGTAACATCTCTGAAGACTATGCTGGCTGCTCTTTTCCATATTTCAAAGGTTACACTATGAATGTGTTACTTCAGGAATTATTTACTTGTTCTTTGACACAATTTCCTGTGGAGAAATGCCTAAAGAACCAATGTTGTCATTTTAATGACATAACTTCCCTAGCTTGTCACAGATGTGATTGTGATGCCGCTGCAGGTTTGCACCAGATTTTCACCCTGTCCTAGACCACAAAAAAGAAAAAATGCAGGTAAACAGATGCCAATGTGCATGAACCCAATGGCAGTACTAATACATTTTCTTTTATCAATAATGTAGACTAAAGATTACACATGACATTTCAAAGAGCAGTAAAATCAGTCCTGCTCATTAGCTTTATAGCTGTTGTGAGGAGAGCAGCATTCCTTACAGCACAGGCTGGGCTACAGTATAGTAATGCACTGTACAGTATAACAAATACATCATATATGGCGGTTCATGATCGCATACATCAGCTGGATGAGAACATGTCAAGGCATGCAGCCCAGTAGTGAAGGTAGTAGTCAACTAAAATAAGCTAAATGGTTGTTGCTGTGTTAGTCATGCAATTTATTATCAAAGTAAGGCTGCTATAGTTTTATTTTACTTCCATATGCCTTAGATTGGACTTTCTTTTTAGAAAAATTAGTATATAAATGTTCTTTTTTGAAAAGAGAGTTGACTATTTTCCTAGTACAGTATTTGTATCAAGGGATATTGTAATATGAAAGGAAAGATCAGCTAAATTCACATGAACATGAATTAATTGTAAAACTTAAATGAACATTTTCTTTGTATGTTTGTCTAGATATATTATCTATATATATTTACTTGAGAAGCAAAATGACTTAAGATATTAAATCTTGTTTTCTGAAAAAAAAGTCTTTGCTTAAAAGAAGAAAAAATATCTGTCAATGGGGTACGAAAATTAATTCACAGGGAAAACAAGAGCATTTTCTCATTGGAAGATATATATATATATATATATATATTTTTTTTTATATATATATATAAATTTTGATAATTTTTCAAAAATAAGTAATTTTGCTTCTCAAGTAAATGCATCTTGATTCAAGAATGTTTAGATATTTGTAATGGAAAACAAGACAAGAATACTAACTACGAAAATCAGTTTTTGCAGTGTGGCTGTTTCATTTTTGAATATTGTAAACAATAATAATATTAGTTGTTAGTTATTAGTTATTAATATTAGAAGTGTTTTTTTTTTTTATATGTGTTTACACATATTTAGTGAAATATCAGCAAGTGCTTTTGAGAGCGATATATATATATATTGTAATTATATATTTTAGCATGACAGGTCTTGTACTGTGAAATATGAATCAAGTTCAAGTGCTACACTGTATTGAAACTCACTTGTGGTTAGAGTGATGCAAACAACTGTATATTAACTATAGTAGAGACCTTTAATGCGATATTTAACTTGAATCTGTGCAAATGTTGCTAATGAGAATTTTATGGATGCAGGAATTGCTTAGTCCCAAAGCTTACAGCGGGTTTCTGTTATACAGTAGGAGTTCTGATATTAAAAATGTAATATTGTTTTGATGAAATGCCTGTATAGACATCATGTGTGCCTACAAGTTTATATGATTGTATTAGGTCACAAGAATAAATATTATTATGCATTAAGCTGAATCACAATAATATGTGTTACTGTAGGGAGGCTAATGACAGCTGTCAGTTTTTCTTGAATCATCCATTAACTACAAATATATCCAACATTTACACATGAAAATATTTTAAGGGCTGCAGTAGAAACCTGCTCCCTTTGAATTCAAACAATTGCGTTAAGGTCAATCTAACAGCTGCCACGTTTATGTGTGTACTTGTTCAAACAGAGGATGAATGGTTTGACTCTGAGCAGAACTGATGCTGGTGTGTGGGGAAAGGTGGGGGAAGAATGTGTGTGGTATTTAGACATGTCAGAGTAATAAGCCCGCCTGGCTCATTACCGGCGAGTCAAGTGGCCTGCAGTATAATAGAGCACCTGCCAGCACTTAACAAGCATCAAGCCAGCAGCGCAAGCTCTGTCACGATGATCTCTGCCAGCCTCCGCCAGCATCATGCTCCATTAATCTGAGTAAAACATTCTGCTATTTAGAAACAAGAAAAACTAGCAGCAGCCTGACAGTAATATGGTTAAAGGAAACAACAGTTTATAATGACCATGTGTGTGGACCGTAAGAAAAGAAAAAAAAAATGTATACAGTTTGAGGAACAGACATATATATAATTGCTATTTACAGATAATCTGTCCCTAGTTGTCCAGTTAAATATGGTCTACAGTATATGGAGCAGATTGGATATCTTTGACGTCAAACCGAACATGAGACGAAATACAAATTTTTTTTTACTAAATACTAAATTTACTAAATACTAAATTAATTTTTAAAGTGCTTTAATCCAGGCTTATACTATAGTTCCTTTACTGAATTCATATTTGTTGATAATACATTGATAATACATTAATGTGTGTGTGTGTGTATATATATATTAAAAGTCAATTAAATTTAAAATGTTGTTAGAGTAGCCTTTTGTACATTGTTAGTTCATGAGGGCTGCCAAGCCTGCACTGAAGCAAAGACTTTAGATATATTATTACTATGTATGGGAGAAAGTGGGGATTGTTGTATTTTTCCCCCTAGTGGTTCAAATTGGTTGCAAAACAGGCGTAACCCTTCGCTTATTCATCATGTTAAACTCATTGAATAATGAATGTATCCACATATCCACATGAAACAAAATATGTTATAAAAAAAAAAAAAACCAGGACTAATCAACCTATTTAATAACTGGAAAACAATTACTTAGGACAAAATTATTCATACTGACCCATTTCACAGAAATAGTGTTTAAATAATGTTTGATAGAAAAATATTGGTAGGCTAATTATCACCTGAAGTTTATAGAATATATGGTCGGGTGGTCTAGCTGCATAAATTCAGATATTTCAACATAGCCGAAGCTCAAATTGGAGCCAAAAATTTTTCATACTCTTATATGGGCCCAGTCCCAAATGACACACTTCATGTGCACGTGCGGTCTCGCGAATTTTTTTAAATGGCCACTGCATGCATGTGTCTGTTAAGTCCACGAGACCGTAGGGCAGGGATCCTCAAATCTGGCCCACTAGAGCCACTTTCCTGCAGAGTTTAGCTCTAACCCTAATCAAACACACCTGAGCATGCTGATCAATGTCTTCAGGATCATTAGAAAATCACAGGTAGGTGAGTTTGATCAGGGTTGGAGCTAAACTCTGCAGCGCATTGGCCCTCCAGGGCAAGATTTGAAGAACCCTTCCGTAGGGTGTCCTATTCGTCATTGTAGCATTCAGAAGGGTGCTCACGAGCGCCCCCTTTGCGGCCGCTATGTGCCCTCGATGCACACTTCTGCCGAGCCCGTACTGAGACGAGCTCCGCAGCAGACTTCTACCCGACAGTCAAAGCGACATTACATTACGAAAGTGTGAACTCAGAGGAAGAGCACGAGGGTTTAGAGTGTGATTTGGGACAGGGCCCTGGTCTGAACTCCATGCAGCTCACATTGGAAATGAATGACTTCCGGTCTACATTTGTCACAGATAGTGAAGCGTACTGAGGCGCTGTTACGGGGCTGACGAGACGTGAGATGTGCGGATCCATGTGCAAGCTTTATTTAAAGCAGAGAGGTCAGAAACACAGGCAGGGTCAAACAATGGCAAACAGGTATATGGCGGACAAGACACAAGAATAATCCTAGGGCTAGCGAAGGTCAACGAACGGCGAACAGAATCAAAAGGGCGAGACTAAAGGGATAAATCCAGGAAAACAGGCAAAGATCAGAAACCGAGAAAACAGACTAGGCTAGGCTAGGCTAGGAAGCTAACGAGGGCTCTGTAGAGTAGCTATCACTGCTGGCGATAAGCGCATACAATACTCGGCAGTTGAAGGGAGTGAGATAGAGTGTTAAATAGTGAGTGAGTGATATGATACAGCTGTGTGCAATCAGTGCTGTGTGCAATCAGTGTAATGAATGATGGGATATGTAGTCCGGGGTGATATGCAACAGTGTAGTGCGAGAGTCAATGAAGTGGAAAGGGTGACCTCTGATGGCTAGCAGACGGAAGTTCATGGACCGGATACGTAACAGGCGTGCTGAGGTCTGTTGTCAAGCATATACCATCCGCTCTGATGTATACTTTCACCGAAATATCTAGATAGGCAGCTTGTTGATGATACTGGAATTTCAGTCAAATAGGCTATGTGTTATTTTCGCTGTGTATTAAACATATGTTATGCATCAAATAGTTATTTACATACTTAAATCTGCAGTCCGTAACTTTTTTTGGTTAAAAATGATCCAAAATCAATATTTGACCAAGTACATAACCAGCCAGTGTTCGAAACTATCGAACTGAATCAAAATACAAAAAAAGTAATACATAAATGTATATTTTTATGTTTTTCTCTAAACAATTTGTGACAATCCACGGATAACTATTCCTCCCCATTTTTGACATGCACAAAGTAAACATTTTCTGGCAACATGGATTAACTTAATTATGAGCCAAGTAATAGTTATTTGATTTAATGACCTACAAATAAGGTAAGAAAATAGAAATAATGCTGTTATGTTTACTGTTTATTCTCTGTCTTTGGGGTTTTCCTAAGCCATTTCAGCTGCAAATGGTTGTGTCATGGAAAAGTGGCGAGGGAGGTTGGGGAGTTGAAAAAGTCACTGCTCTCTACTGACTTTAT